ATGTGTTATTGAATATTCAATTAACCTAGCAAGTATTTCCTTATTACGTTTTATTCGCTAAGTGTAATAATATAATTCAGTTCAATAATTGCTGCGTACTTAAACTTGATTTGCCCACTGTATTTCTAACTGTGTAACAAAAATGTAGCTACACATATATAGACATATTTCAATACACACAAGCATATGTTTACATCAACACGTGTGTATTTCACATATACATATGTACATACTCTTGTATGTTAAGCGAATTGAAGAAATGGAGAACACACAAAGCAGTTACTATGCTTGTCTCTGTCTTTTGCATGTTATTGGCATTGAAGATCAACATTAAACAGCAAATTCGACTATTTGCAGCTTGTCTCACTTGTATTCGTATGAACGATGGCTGCCCTGAATGTAAATAAAAATGGATGTATGTATGTATGAAGAACAGTGAACTAGAATGTATGAGGATATAAATATTGTTTGTTTTGTTTGTTAAATGATGCACAACTAGTCAGTTAGTCAATAATAATAGTAAGTAGATTAGTTCGTCGTATTTTTATCGCAGCACTCTGACACTTACTTGCACTCGTTCCACGCCTTCGTCATTGGTTTTTGTAAATACTGAAGGCTGTGCACTCTCCATGGCTGTCCACATTTTCTGATATATGCTGAAGTTCGAGTCCCTAAAGAAGCCCATTGTGGAGCCGCCTTGTAGAGCGCCATATTTGATCTTTGTCTGGGCCGCGAGATCTTCGGCACTGTTGATGGAGCTAGCTTGACGCGAGTTGGTCAGAAAAGCAGCCAAGTTGGCCGTGTAGGAGTTCAACATCATCAGGGCAAAGAACCACCACATGCCAGTCACCAGACGTGTGGAGGCGGCTCTGCCGAAAAAGGAGAAAATAAATCAATTCTATATTGCTTTAATTGTTTTACTAGAAATTCACTCACTTGGGCAATATGTCACAGCCTTGACCCATAAGAGAGCCAATGGATAGCCACATTGTGTTGCTCAGAAACCAAATGTTCTCCACCTCCTCCGGTTCCTTGCAAGGATGCGGATTCTCCCAGTCATCGGGCGCCATGCGAGCCAAGGCAAAGAGCAATAGCGATATAAACAGATAAGCAGAGCCCATATAGATCCAAACGTCCAGCGAGAAGGGCGACAGAAATGAAAACAGATCCGTCGGTGGTATTGGTGGTTTCGAGAACAAAATACTAATGCCCAGATTCATGAAAGGCGGCGTAAAGTCCACTGCCTGACGCCGGCTCGAGGTCATGGTCAGATCACAAATGCCCAGATCTGCGTTCTGCAAGAGGATCGAATATGCAGATATTTATTTAGATATTTTATATTATATTAGGCACGTAGCACCGTTCGCACTCACCCCATCGAGCAGCTGCCTCACGATGCCATCCCATGTCTGGGTGACTTTGTTATAGCTGCCGTATTTACCATCTGGAGACATGCGGAATTCGTACTTGAAGTTCAGCATGCGTGCAATGTTATCGATCAGATCTATGGAGTAGCCCTCGTAACGCGCATTGCCCTGCAATATTTGGCCTTCTTCGGGCTCGCGCAGCGTCAGGAAAGGTGCTCCGATGCGCGAGGAGACGATAAATGTTTTGTTCGACAACTTTTGGCCCACGCGCTTTTCACTTTCCTCGTCATCGTTGAGTCTGTCCAGGCCATTGACCGGATCCCAGGTGGCCAGATCCAGGAAGCCACCGGCATCGATCTCCATGAAGCGCAGCGTAAAGAAACTGCGCTGTCCGTACTCATTGAAGTCCACGCGACCCGTGCCAATCTCCTCAGAGCGCTATGGAATTAAGTGATGTAGTAGATATATAGATATAGACTATATATCTTTTATATATCTAATTCACTTACCGCCTTCATGAACTCTATGATACGCCGGCCATGTTGCCAGGGCTTTTTGCGTTTACATTCGATTTCGGGCGCCGAGAGCTCGTCCAAAATTTGCAGCTCAGTGAGTCCCTTGGAGAAGAGCCACACCGCATCGTTCAGCAGTATCATTTGCGTCTTCACCTGCGTGGGCAACACTTTATAGTATCGCTCTTCGCGCTTCTCATGCTCCTCCCAGTCGTGCACAATGTTCCTAATGTGATAGTCCGTGGGATCCATCAGGCGAACTGTTGTTATATTCGCCTCCACATTCATAATGTCACCCAGCTCCAAGGTGTGTGTATCCAAGAGCGGTATGAATACACTCTGATATTGGCAGAAACAATATAATAATAGATAATATAATATAATAATTCCATTATATTCCACACTCTTATCTCTGCACTTTCTCACCTGATATTCACCTAGCATTTTCAGCTCGTGAGCCTGTTCTAGAACTTTTAGGAGATTCTCCGGTGAGCAGTGTAGAATGAGACAATTATCCGTGGACAGTTTAATTTCCTTTAAGAAGGGTCTATGATCGTCGTCTGGACTCAGTTGTCTGACTGTTGTCGGATTGCTGCTCGGATCACCTATTTGTAGTATATCCTGTAGTTGTTGAAGCTCTGTAGGAAATCAAAGTTAATATACATTTATAGAAATAATAATATGGGATTAATCTAGTTAGCTATATCCCTCGTATTTGATATTTCCACTGACTGTTCATACCTACCTCTCTCTGATTCATAGACAATTGTAAAGCTGCGCCAGCCGAAGCTCTGTACGATTTCGGCAAATCCACGTGCCAGCAGCAGATTATCCGGATGCATGTTGAGGGTCATCGATGTGTGTTCGTATTGTCGATTATCCGGCAGCCAATCGTAAACAATATGGGGTATATCCAACGTATGGCAAATGGAGGCCACTATGTCTATAAAGATGCACAAGATGAATGAATTGAACTCAACTGAAATTCTGAATGAGAAACTTACCTGAGCTGCTGCCCGTGCTGGGTCCAAAAATAGCAATGCAACCCTGCGAAATCAGTTCACAAACTGCAAGTGAAATAAAAATATATATACAGTATATATATATACATAGTGCTTTACCCAAATATTTCTCGAGACTCACCCGTTTTCTCCATTATAAAACTGTCCTCAGTATTGGCATAGAGCACAACGGGGACAAGTTCTATATTTCGCTCCAAAATATTTGCACGTTCCACAGCCGTGCGAAATGCAATTTCCGCCTCATCCTTGTCCGATGTGAAAATGATGCCTGAACAGCAGACCAACAAATTCTCGCAATGAATGTGACCCAGTTTTTGGGCATTATTTTTTCCAATATTTTATTTTATGAACTTACCCACATTAAACTTCTCCCTGGCTGCGGCCCAATGCAGCAGCAACCAGCAGAAGGGAGCGTAGTATTTGAAAAGCATTTGATTTTCTCTATTTTTTATTGATATTTATGCATTCTATTGCATTTTACTGATGATGTAAAAATTTGCAACTAAAACGTACGAAGGCCCGCAATACAATGAGCTATGTCGCCCATATATACATATGTCGAAATACATATATCTATATATATGTAAAGTGAACTATGCTAATAATAAACATGTAAAAATGTTGCACTCGGATGCTCCCGGCTGCATAATACTCATCAGAAACAGTTGAATCTACATGGGTAAAGCTGAAAGGAAGAAGTTTTCAGTTCTAGCTCAAGCTTTAGCTACATTAGATCTGATGGACGGACGGAATGACAAATGGATAGCTGTAAATTTCACAAAACAAATAGACTCTTTTAGCTTTGTGAATCAGTATAAAGATATGCAAGCATAGAAAGCCCAAATGAGAGTCTGCACAGAGCCATAGAGAGCGAGAGAGAGAGAGAGAGAGCGCCCTCTGTTGTTTGTTGTGCTAAACATATTCTAAACAAGAAGAAATGAGGGAGAAATGCTGATTTTTTTTTGGGTGAAAGCCAGCGAATGTTTTACTCTTTACTCATACTATACGATTTCTGATACATTGCACTTAATTTTGTCAATCAATATCTGCGAGATCATTCTAGACCTTCTTGCGCAGCGCATGATCGTAGAATATGACCGAGCCGTACTTGGGCGAGATCACTGTGGAGCGATTCACATTGCGATTGAAGGGATTATCATGTCCGCCCACGGGCAGATACTTGTGATCGCCCTTGTGCATGAACATCAGACCATAGCGATCGTCGTGCACGACTTTAAAGTTATCGCTGTCCGTATGATAGAATACATTGTATTGGGCATTACGATAGCTGAGATGATGCGGCATTGGCCGCAGGTGGGCTCGACCCTCGTAGATGCCCTTCCAGTTGGCGTGATTGTACGCCTGACGCGTCGTGTTCGCCCAGCTCATGCCCAAATCAATATACGCTGAAATTTCGGATCCCTTATTATCCGTGTACATTGTGAAGACGATTGTCTGTCGGCGGCAGGTTTCAATTATCGAATCATTGTACAACGATTTTCCACTTACCGCCAAGATCTTGGAGTATATGGGAAATTCACGTTCCTTGAACTGCAGCAGCACGGGATCTTTGTTATTTGGCGATAAGTACCTGCTGAAGTATTGCTCATCCGAGGTTTTGGGCCGTATCGCGTTCATGGCCAGAAACTGGCGCCTTTTAAACTCTGCCGCATCATATGGGGCGCTCGTCGCGCGATAGCCCAGTTTCAGATACTTTGCGATCACATCCTTCCTTCGCAAATATTGTTTGTCCTGCTTGGTCGTATATGATTCTAGATAGTCCTCATACGTATTAAAGTCTAAAATACCAAAGTCAATTCGCTTATCACCCATTTTCTGTTTTTTTTGCTATATACAAAGGTTTTCGGTTTTAATTGGAATTTTTAAAATTAATTCTAGTTGCTTACATTTTTAGTTTTTAGGTTTTTTTTTTGCTTAATTTAAATTTTATTTGATTTTTTGTTGTTTTATATATTTTTTTTTTTTATTTTTTTTTGTTGCTTAAAAATAAGCAAATGCTTTTAGTGTTAGTGTGTGATATTTTTTATAGAATGTGCTCATTGTGTTAGTTTATGGTAAATTAAATATCTGGGGCCTACTTGAAATTTCGAAATTTCGAATAAAGCAAAATTATTAAGAATTTTTGTAAGTGGGGGATTTTTGGATGAAAAATAAAATATTATACAATGATAAACATCAATATTAATTTGATAATACGAAAGAGTGCTATAGTCGGGCTGCCAGACTAGAAGATATCCTGAATCATGTGAAGATCTATTTGATGGACAGACAGGCGAATCGTTGGAGGGACAGAAGGACGAATAAACAAAGATATAGACAAACATGGATTTAAATTGAGTTAGATACATCATAGTTACATACGAATATATGTTAGCTCATCACCCTGATCAAGAATACACACAAAAATAATATAATTTGAGTTCTTATATATATTATGTACCCTCTGTATCAAAACAATTGAATTCATTCAAAGACATATCATTCAGTTCTTCATGTATATTATGTGTATTTGCCTTTGCCTAAGCGATAGCAAACGTACCTATATATATACATACATATATCTATATCCATATCAATATATGTTAATTATTTTATATATATATCTATATATCTATGTATGCATATAGGAACGTCTGCTTTCCTGTTGCAAATGGAGTCGCAGTCGTAGTCCATCTCCATTTGCTTGGCCTGGCAGGGAAAATCGTATTCCTGTTTAGCTTTGAGTTCCTGAGCTGCTGCAGTTGTCCATTTCTTGTTAGATATTCTATAGAAATTAGCGAATTTACTATAAGCTCAGAAAGGTAAATTCGTTTTAAATTACTTACCAATAAACGATGAGGCTAAGCGATATTACCCCAACTATATTGAATGTGTATTAAATGTTAGGCAATTATTTTCTTTCCTGCTCTCTACTTTGTATTTCTTTTTCTTCCATTTAAGTCGTTTATCCTTCCTTATTGTCATCATCCTCGATGGCGTTTATATTAAAATCAAAATGTCTAGCAAATACGTTGTTGGGCTATCATTGTATTTGAACGAAATTGATAGTTTGATTACCATTTTATGTGCTTCTGATAGTGTCAAAGTGTAAATGTTTGAAAAAGCAAAGCTAATGTGATGGATTTGTTATCAGATGGAACTATTGTATATAGAGTTGATCAATTTTGGTGAAATAATCGATAGCCTATCGATATTAACGTACTAAAAACAATTTCCAATAAATAAATTTAAAAACAAAAAATAAAAAAATTTAAAAAAAAATAAACAAAAAAAAAATATTAAAAATTAGTATTAACAAAATGCAATATAAAAAAAATAAAAATATATTTAAAAAAAAAAACTAAAATAAAAAATATATAAATCATAGAAGTGTAATATAAATATAAATAAATATATATACGTGAAAATAAAACTTAAAATACAAAAATATTATAGAATGATTTAAAATATTTTAAAAATATATACATATTATTAAAATTAAAAAAAAATATATAAAACATATAAATTATATCTATGTGTATTTAATAATGTGTATATAAAATATACAGCGGTTTACATCGTACACAAATTTCCCATTAGGCATTACAAGAAAAATATTTAAAAAAATGTATATATATGCAGTAATGTATGTACATAAAGAAAACATTTTAAAATCATAGACATTTATTAATAAAAATTAAAATTAGACGAAATATAGATTTACGTTTATATTTATAGTAAATACTAAACAGCGTTTATCAGACTTTTAAATGAATAATATATTAACTATGCGGTGCATAATTTTATGGATAGAATCACAGGAGAGAAGTAATATCAAGAAGCCTTTTTAGCTTAATAAATATGTTTTTGTTATATTTTAACATGTAGGTCTAATTATTTCTAAACATGTTTATTCAATGACTTTAGTTCTAAAACTGCATCAATTTTGATTTTCTCAATTGATCAATGAAGGAATTAAGATAACAAACATGTTTGATTTACCTGAGTGCTGAAGACATTCACATTGGAATGTCTCTGATGCCCCAATCAATTTGTGCAACCAAAAACATGCTTGTAAAGATGAAAGAGCGATCAAGTGCTGCTCTTAGAAGATCAAAATGTTGCCAAGATCGAACAAAGGCACGATCATCATAATATTTGGCACACAATACGAAAAGCTGCTGACAAACTGAATTATGCGAGTGAGCGAGAGAGTGAATAAGTATCTGAGTGCTTGAAATCAAAATAAAATAAATAAATTTGAGAATGGCAAAGACACGGCAGACTGGATGCCGCCTACGTCATCGTCAGGCGCCATAAATATGACCATGCCACAAGGCACATGGCAGATGGCACAAGGCACATGGCAGATGGCAGATGGCATTTCCCCAAGAGCGGAGAGCGCATAGAGCAGAGCAAGGTAGAGCAGAGCACAGCATTTGGAATTGAGCATTGGCGGATGGAGAGCGGATACAGTTAGGCCGGTCGGTTGGTCAGTGTGCGTGCTTAGCGCTCCAAGACTGGATGCTGCGGTCGCTTGGAGCAAACAGCTGAAAATATTCGAAAGTAAAGCACATATATTTCTATATATATAGAAAATCAACAAAAAATAAATAAAATCTGTTGAAAATTTTACGTAATTTTCGAGTGTATATACAAATACATAAATGTACAAAAATATATATATAAATATATGTATATAACTAAATGAAATGGCTGTTGCATTTAGCGAAATCCAATTGGAGTGCGTTGTCTAACTAGAAATTCGTTGTATTTGAAATGAAACAAAATGCATTTGTATCCAGTCAACATTTATTTGGTGTTATTTTTAAAATATGCCCTCGCCATGGGCAACGAGGGAAATACGAAAATTCCAGTTGGTATGCTTCACATAAATCCATATATATATAAATACAGAAAAAATACATTCAAATACTTTTCAGGTGCTATTTTCTATGAAAATGAAAAGGAAATCGAATTGAGTTTCGATCAGGCCTTTCGAGAGGTCAACAATCTGAAATTCTCGGATCTGCAGTTTGTCACCATCAAACGCTATATGCCCACCAACGATAGCTTCCTATTGCAGCAGATCAGTAAGTGTTTCACTCAATATATTGTATACAAATATCTATAGATGTTCCGGTTTAGCTTGTGAACTGATTTCCAATGGCGTTGCGGCTATTTTCGGACCAAGTTCAAAGGCAGCCAGTGGTATGTACGAGTGGCCTAGTGTGTTTCAATTTCATTGATCAACAGATGTTGTTTTGAATTTGGTGTGTTTTGAAATCGTTGTTCGCCCAGATATTGTAGCGCAAATCGCTAACACGACCGGCATTCCACACATAGAATACGATTGGAAGCTCGAGGCGACCCGGCAGGAACATTTGAATAATCAAATGACCGTGAATGTCGCACCTGCTTTGTC